ACAGCCCCCGAAACTGCCCGCACAGCCCCTGCCACTGCTCCTGCAGTAGCCTCCGGCACAGCCTGCTTCTGCCACTCCTTGCACAGCTTCCGGATCAAACACACCGTGGGCTACTTGGCCCTCCTTGGGCCGACACTGATTTAGGCAATATATGCATCTAACTATAGTTAATTGCAGGGAGGTTTGAGTCCAATTATGCTTTGATTAGTTTTCCTTTTCGGATTAATTTTAATCGAAGACTGAAAAGTCTAAAAATACGAATGTGTTATTTTGAATTCGTATGTTCAATTATTTTTCGATTACTATTGAGCAGTACAGAGTAGATGTTTGTACTTATATTTTTTTCAAATTAAAATAGATAATCAATGCTCTATATGAATTTGATTATTTGAATATGTAACTTCCCATTATTTCATAGTGTTAGATTAATCCTAATGTATTTTATTAATTTGTTTTTTTTTTGTCTTTTACACTAATTTATTTATTAAAAATGGTTTGCGGATAAGTACTTTAGATTAATGTTCAAAAACGGAAACAGACTATCAAATCTTGACCGATAGAGATTAGAGAGGACTCCTCAGCTCGTTTTTAATTAGGAAGCTGAATATCTTTTTAGAACTATCAAAATAGATGTAAAATGTGAAAAAGTTACCAAAAATAGGAATTCTCTATTTTTATTTTCTAAGCAAAAATTTTAATGTCAATACTATCAACAAATAATACCAAAACAATTGTGAAATACAAATACAGTGTCACATTGTCACCATAAAAACTCATATATCTGGAATAAAAATATGAAACTCTTATTTTAGATTTAAGAGTTATACTTTACTCATATTTGAGATGATATCTTTAATAATTAATCAATAAGTAATGCTCTCTTCACCTTTTTTTAGTATTCACACATTTCGGTATTTTTAGATTTGATTGATAAAATAATATATTCGTGTCAAATATTAATTTATGAAGCTTTTTTTAACTATATAAGTGTTATATATCCATTATTTAAAATAAGATAAAGCGTCAATTTCAAATTTTATTATCTTTTTTTTAATTTTGACGCTAAAGAATCATAAAAGTTAAATTTTTGGGCCAGAATCATATAAAAACACTATTTTTGGACATAGAATTAAAGTGAAACTTTAAAAACATTTTTTAAGTAAAAAGGTTTGTTTTTAAGTTTTATTCTCATTTTATTATTTTTGAGAGTTTATTTTATGAAATAATATAGTCCCGTCAAATACTACTTCCGTCCCTGAGTATTTTGTCTAGCTTTAACTTTTGCAGTCAAATGTTTTCAACCTTTAATCTTTAATTAAATGAAATATATATTGTATATTAACTCGATAATATAATATTTTGAAAATACTTTATAAAATAAATGCAATAAAATTATTTTATATCAATATCTTATGTCATTTATATTTAAGTTGTAGCCAAAATTTGCTAATTTTGACAGGAAAAAATTGAATATGGACAAACACACCTAGACGGAGGGAGTACTCTGTATAATTTTATGAAGCTTTTTTTTTAAACTAAATAAATTCTATTTTAAATTTTATATAAATAACACAGTAAAAAGAAGATAAAGTATCATTTCAATTCTTATTATCAATTTTTTTCCAATTTTGACGCTAAATTATCATAAAAGTTGAATTTTCGGGATAGAATCAAATAAAAACAATATTTTGAGACATAGAAAGTAAAAATTTTAAAACACTTTTTAAAAATAAAAAAAATTATCTTAAATTTTATACCAATATTTGTAAAAATTGAATGGAAAACAAATTTAGAAAGTAAAAAAAAAGAAGATAAAGTTTAAGGATTTTGGTAATGATGATTAAGAGGAAGAGGGGGGCCATTCCACTTTCGCTCCACCGCCTATATCTACCAGCTTGTGTTCCTCCTCCGCCAATTAATATTAAAAAAACAATCTTTCTTCTTTAAAAATCAAATTAAAATAAACCCATCCAATATGGGCACCGGCGAAAATCTCGAATGGGAGCAGCGCCGCCGCGTGGAGGTGGAGACCCCGCCGGCGAAACCCTTCTACGAAGTCGTGAAATCCACCGTCAAAGAGACGCTGTTCCCCGACGACCCGTTCCGGAGGCTGAAGAGGCAGCCGCTCCGCAGAAAGCTGGTCATGGGGTTGCAGTATTTCGTGCCCATACTGGAGTGGGCCCCGCGCTACAGTTTCCGGTCGTTCCGGTCGGACTTCGTCGCCGGAATCACCATTGCCAGCCTCGCCGTCCCCCAGGGGATCAGCTACGCCGGCTTGGCCAATCTCCCTCCTGTCATCGGATTATGTAAGCCCATTCTTTATTCCTTCAATTCATATTTTTTTTATTATGTGATAATTGAAATTTATTCTGTTTTTCGTGTTTTCTTTGATAAAATTCTATATTTTTGTCACGTCTTGTTTTGTAGAACTTTTGACGTAGTCTTTAAATATGTAAAATTTATTTTTGATTTTTATACCAATCTTTAAATAAAATAAATATAAAAAATGCAAAATTTTACTTCATTTAACGTAATGTTACAATTTTTTTGGGATAACTAAAAATTTGATAATTGATAACTAGAACATTATGAGGGTGTTTGTGAGTGATTAACTTATGGATAAAGTGATTTCCACAAAAGCTAAAAGCAGAAGCACCTCCTACCTGCTTCTCCGAAACGGTGTTCTATGTACAAAATAGTGGTGGTGAAAAGCAGAAGCTGACATGCCAAACAGAGTAAAATCACTTCTACTCAAAGCAGAAGTTAAATGATTAAAAGCAACACACTCCCAAACAGCCTCTATATAGGCCAATTTTATTCACAAAATTAAACTTTCTATTGACATGTAGTGGTCCAAATAAGTCCAATATTCCAATGTTGAGAGTGTGTGACAAATGAAATCTAGAGTTGAAAAGTTATTTGAAATTTAAGAACTCGAAATTGATTATTAATTTTGATAACTGTAATTTGGACTATGCCCTACCAAATATGTTACAAATATACATATAATTTTTATCTGTGTGTGTTTATATAGATCTTTATCTATAAATGATAAAGATGATACCGGATAATTATGGCAAGTTGATTAAATGTATTAGATATACGAACTGTTATTTAATTGGCTTATAAATGTTTGTTTCTAAAGAAAGTCATATTCATGAAATAATTTGACTACTATATTTATAGTTAAATCATTTTTTGTAATCCGTTATTAATTCTAACCTTTTCAAAACAGTCCAATCTAATTGACTCGTGTGTCAACCACACGTCATGCACCGAAATATTTGTTTCGTAACCAATCACAAATTGTGGATTACCAAATAATCCCATTTATAATAAGTCACATATTTTTTTGATGAATTCAAAGTCTGATTTTTTTATTTTTATAAGATTTATTACATAAAATCATTTTATATGTGAAGGTCCATAAAATAAGCATGTATCTAAGAATACAAAAGAATTTGTCTTGGGACAAATTAGTACGTACGAGAAAATACTCTTTGGGGCATTTTTAATTATTTCATTGATGTTTTTTTAGTATATTCATCCTCATTCTGATTGAATCGGCTTTATTTATGGTTAAAATGGATACTTTTATTCTTAATAAAATAAAAAAATATTAAATCCTAGCCAATTTTTAAGGTTAAATAATTTATTCATGCAAATGAAGTGGATTTAGTCATAATGAAGTGATATATATCAACCCGCTATATCAATTTATGTATTTCTTTCCTATGTTTATCTCCTCCAAGTCTCCAACATTTACTGTCTCATTTACGGGCCATCTTTCTTGTTACGGATAACTGTTCAATAAATTTGATGTGGAAAAACGTTGACCGATTAATACTGTTGGATTGTTTTTCTTTATTTAATTTTTCTTAATCAAAATTTAATTTTTGTCGTGTGGTAAATGGTAATAAAATTTAGAAAAATACAGTGTCACATTATTATGTTGCGATAAAAATTTAAAATTAGTAGATTCATTTTGAATTAACGTACTCCATATATATTATATGGACAAATAAATAGAGATATTAGATTAATATTTAAAATATGAAGTTGAAGGTCGTGTGAAGATAGTGTTAAAAATGGCAGACAAAATGATAATACAAAAGAAGTGCTAAATAATTTTACTGCATGTATAGATGGCACGTGGTATATATTTCAATGTGCGTTGGGTGTATCATATCCCCATAGACCGACTAAACACTAATATTTGGAAATAATTATTAAAATAGTACATTCTCCCTGAGCAATTTTTTTCACTCTATATTTACTATACACATGATCAAATTTTATGACTAATGATTTAATAGTCTTAAGGTTTATATCTAGTATGTGAACTTACTCAAATAATTATAGTTTTGTGGGATCATAATCTTGAAATTCAAATAAGATCTACCAAAGTATTTCCCACACCTTTTTGTGTTTTATTTTCAGTCATTTCAATATATAATATATTCATGTTAACCTTTTCCGAGTAGAACTTCGTACTCCCCTGTTTTTCAAAAAATTTCTTCTTTTATTTTTTATTTCCCAAAGCACTCACATTTTCTATTAAAAAATTACTTTTAGCTCTAATATTACGTATCACATCATACTTTTTCACTAATAATTTATTCATCACATCTTTGTTTTATCTATCACATCAGGAAAAAATGGGAACGCCAACCACAAATTCACACTCTTTATTTCTCATAAAAGTCAAAATGGAAACCATTTTATGAAACGGATGGAGTATATAATTTTCAAATACATAGAGTGTGTGTGTGTATCATTTGTAATAAGATAAATTAAATTAAAAATAAATTCAATCAAATCACGTAATCGTTGAAACACGAACAAAACTTTTGGACATAAGGCATAATAATAATAATAATCAATTAAATAAAAATTGTATTTCATATTATAGCCAAAAAAAAATACGGAGTAAATTAATTAGATACTCCCTCCGTCCCAAAAAGAATGGGACGGTTTGACATTTTGGGAAATTAAGGGAGGGATATTTTAGTATTGACTTTCCAAAAATACTCTTGATGTGATGAGTAAAAGTAGGATGTGATGGGTAGATTATTAGGAAAAAGGTATGATGTGATAGGTAGTGTATGAAAAGGTAAGGGGTAAAAGTGGTTTTTTAATAGAAATGTAACGGACTTTACGGGAGGCAGTTTTTTCTAAAAGTAACAAATTTTTTGGGACGGAGGGAGTATATATTGTGTAAACCTTTCAAATTTGATGTATTTGAGGACTAAATTTTGTCTAGATTAACCCAAAAAAATGTAAATAAGCTTAGTATTATTGTATGCATGCATGCAGACTCGAGTTTTGTGCCACCGCTTGTATATGCGGTGTTAGGAAGTTCTCGGGACATGGCGATAGGGACGGTGGCGGTGCCGTCGCTGCTATTGGCGGCCATGTTGGGGAAGGAAGTCAACCCCAAGCTCAACCCCAATCTCTACCTTCACCTGGTTCTCACCGCCACCTTCTTTGCCGGCCTCTTCCAAGCTTCTTTAGGCATCTTCAGGTATATATGCATGTTTTTGAGTTTTTTAATTTGTTTGTGTGTGGGATTTTGCTAGATTTGTTTTTATGTTGTTGTGTACAGAAAATTCTTGGGTGTGCATGTTTTTGATATACTCCATCCCTCCATAAAACCCTTCCTATTTGAAAAAGACACGCCTTAAAATGAGTAATTTTGGTGTTATTTTCTAATTATGACCCGTCTATGTTACACATCGCATCCTACTCTTCCTATTTGAAAAAGATACTCCATAAAACCCTTCCTATTTGAAAAAGATACTCCATAAAACCCTTCCTATTTGAAAAAGACACGCTAAAATTAAAAAATAACACTAAAATTACTTATTTTAAGGGTGTGCTTTTTTTTTTTCTAAAATAAAGGTGTTATGGGATGTAGGGATTAGTTTTTTTTTAATTTAAAAAAAAAAAAAGAGGCAAAACAGTGTGTGAATATATAATTGACGCACAAGAAAGAAAATAAGGAGGTAGAGTGGGGGGAAATGGGTGGGTGCAGGTTGGGAATGATAGTGGATTATTTGTCACATGCAACAATATTGGGGTTCATGGGGGGAGCAGCCACTGTGGTTTGCCTGCAGCAGCTCAAGGGCATTCTTGGCCTCCTCCATTTCACCCATGCCACCGACTTCTTCTCTGTCCTCCGCTCCATTTTCACCCAATTCCATCAGGTACTTGTACGTTTCTATCTATCTCTTTTTTTTACTACTATTGTATATATATATATCATATAATGAAAACCACCTAATAGAATGCTGGTTTTAATAATTATTGTAACATTGTACAGTGGAGATGGGAAAGTGGAGTCCTTGGATGCTGTTTTCTCTTCTTCCTATTGCTCACCAAGTACTTTGTAAGTAATTTAACTCTTTTTTTTTCTATTTGCATGCCCTTCCAAAAAAGAAATTGTACCCTATCTACTTTCCATACTCCATCCGTCCCAAAAAGATTTACACCTTTCAAAAAAATTGTGTCCTACAATCTCCTACCCATTTCTATTAAAAAACCACTTTTACCCCTTACTTTTTCAAATCCTACCTATCACATCATACCTTTTTCCTAATAATCTACACATCACATCAAGAGTATTTTTGGAAAGTCAACACAAAATAATCCCTCCCTTAATTTCTGCTTTAGTCAAAATGGGTAACACTTTATGGGACGGAGGGAGTATTTTATTTTATTTTTTGCACATCTCATAAAAGACGTACTTCTACCATTATTCAAATGTCTAAAATACTTCCAAACTGATTTTTACACGCACTAAGAAGAAATGATGTGAGTTTTGCACATTGTAGATTTGGGTTGAAGTATCTTATTAGATGCAAAGAAAATGAAACAAAAATACGTCTTTTTGGGACGAACCGGAGTGCTTGTGTAACATTTTACACTCTATTTAATTGAAAAGGGAAAAAACGATTTCTATTTATTTAGCATTATTTGAATTAATTGGTTTGATTGTGACGACGGACCGACCACCAAAATATATAATACTCCGTGATAAACAGAGCAAAAAGAAAGCAGCATTCTTCTGGATAAATGCCATGGCGCCGTTAACGTCCGTCATCTTGGGCAGCGTCTTGGTCTACTTCACCCACGCCGAAAAACATGGAGTTCAAGTGGTAATTCATTAATTAATTTCTGCATAATGATAATTATACTAGATAAAATTTGGACTAAATGTACTAAAACATACTCCGTATGTTTTTTCTCAATATACTACGTAGTACTTAAACTTTTTTATTCTCTAAATAATACTTGAATAATGTCTAATTGTGACAACAATGTCTAGTGATGTTGGGCATTTAATTTGAATAATATCTAGTGGCGGTGGACATTTACTTGAACCATTACCACTGGGCATTGGACCATAGTACTATATTGAAAAATAAAAACATATGATATTACATTGAGAAAGTCACTATATTTTAGTACTATTTAGATAAATTCCTCCTAATACTAATAATAATAATCTATGTTTTATTTTAATTTGGTGCATGGTATATATATATATTTTTATGCATATATAATAATAAATAAATAAAATAAAAATGATGAAAAATGGTTGATGATGAATGAAGATAGGGGAGTTGAAGAAAGGGATAAATCCGGCATCTGCATCAGAGCTGGCGTTTGGTTCGCCGTACATCGGCACCGCCATTAAGGCTGGGGTCATCACCGGTGTCATTGCCCTAGCTGTAAGTACCCACTACACAACTCTTCAATTATTTATTTATTTGTTTTTATTCCATATCAGTGCATTTACAATATTCATCAATTTTAATTCAAAACTTATACTCCCTCCGTCCCAAAAAGATTTACACCTTTCAAAAAAATTGTGTCTCATAATCCCTTACCCATTTCTATTAAAAAACCACGTTTACCCCTTACCTTTTCAAACCCTACCTATCACATCATACCTTTTTCTTAATAATCTACACATCACATCCTACTTTTACCCATCACATCAAGGGTATTTTTGGAAAGTCAACACAAAATTATCCATCCCTTAATTTCAACTTTAGTCAAAATGGGTAACACTTTATGGGACGGAGGGAGTATAAGTTTGATGCAAATATGTATTTATTAATAAAAACAATAATATATTTATCCGCCTCTCTGTGGTATTTTTTGACCGCAAATTATGGAAAAAATATATTTAGTTCTAGTGTAAATTTAGTAAAATTAGATTTATTTTAAAATATCAAAATTTTATAATATTTAATTATCTTAAATTATATTTAATTCATGATCAAAGAGTACTACAATTTGACCAAAAAAGTCAAACTGTCTCGATATTTTAGAGAACTAGGCAATAATTTTTTAAGAGTGGGGTATGTATAATTGAAATAGGTCGTCGTCCCTGAGATTCTCTATAAGACTGTATAACATGGTCACCCTTTTTTTGTCTTTTCATTCATTCCAAAATTGATATTTTCCCCCAAATGTCCGTACTGTCCCTCCTCCTAAACTGGTCAACTTGACACTCAATAAGTGGTACCCCTCCTATGTCAAAATCGGATTATGGTGATATTTGACTGAATTTATTTTAAAATAATATAAGTAAGAATTGGTGCATAATTCTAAAATAAAAACCGCTTTGGGTAAAACATTTAACATCGACTAGTGTTGTACGTAGATGAAAACTGCTTTGAAATGAACGATTAAAATTTGTTTAAACGAGAGGAATAAGGTAAAGCAGTAGATGAATGTACACTTTTTTCAATTGTGCACATAAAACAATTTTAATAAATGAATTAATAAATGTTCAACACATATAATTATGTATGAGAATGGGTTAATATTTTTATATTCAGGAAGGAATAGCAGTGGGGAGAAGTTTTGCCATGTTCAAAAACTACCACATTGATGGGAACAAAGAGATGATAGCCTTTGGGATAATGAACATTGCTGGCTCTTGCACTTCTTGCTACTTGACCACTGGTAACACCCTTCTTCACCCTTCTTTTTTTTTCATTCCTTATTTGCCCTTGCAAATTAAACAATTTATCGCCGATTTTGTCAAATAATAACATCGTTTTTTTCGTAAATCGAAACATGCACTTCTATTCGATCTATAACTTGATTAAGTAATTAATTACCAACAAATGTTTTTTGTACCAGCGCCGTTTTCTAGGACAGCAGTGAACTTCAATGCAGGATGCAAGACAGCAGTGTCGAACATAGTAATGGCGGTGACAGTGATGATGACGCTCCTATTCCTCACCCCACTCTTCTACTACACCCCTCTCGTCGTCCTTTCCTCCATAATAATTTCAGCCATGCTGGGTGTCATTGACTACCAAGCCGCCATCCATCTATGGAAGCTCGACAAATTCGACTTCCTCGTCTGCATCAGCGCTTACATTGGCGTTGTCTTCGGTAGCATTGAAATCGGCCTCGTTGTCGCGGTATGAGCACCAAAATTTCAACAATTTTATCATATAAATTGATGATTAGAGAAATAATTAACTCGCGTGCGTTCTTAATAGGTGGCATTGTCCATGCTAAGAGTGCTTCTGTTTGTAGCAAGGCCTAAGACTATGATCTTAGGTAACGTCCTTAATTCGGGCACGTATAGGAGCGTGGATCAGTACCCGAAGGCAGCAACCGTGCCCGGAATCCTCATCATTCACATTGGTGCTCCCATTTACTTTGCCAATGCTGGTTACTTGAGGGAAAGGTTTGTACATATAAAGCATATATAACTAATAAACTTAATTAAGACTTTTGCATGTTTTACAATTAGGTTAATAAGGCCTCGTACTTGATTAGTGTTGTCATTAAGACATCATAGATTATTGTGGTTTGGTGGGTTATAGGATCTTCAGATGGATAGATGAAGAGGAAGAGAAGATTGACAATATGAGTGGAACTGAGCTACAATATGTCATTTTGGATTTGAGCGGTGAGAAAGTTTTTCTTTCTTTTAAACTTGAGTCATATGACGGATAACATCAAGGTTGACATTGTCGAAGTGAGGGCAATGGTTTCTGACAGGCTATACGTGACTGTCTTTAGTAGTGTCAACCTTGGTGTCATCTCTGGGGCTAAAGTAAGTGTTATTCATATATATTAACGTTGTTGGAGGAATAAAATTGCAGTCGTTGGAAACGTTGATACGAGTGGGATTTCTATGCTTGATGAAGTAAAGAAGGAATTAGATTTGAGAAATCTCAAGGTACAAAACAAAAACATCCCCACTCTTACCACTACTAATTAACGTTTTATTTTTGAATAGATTTCATAAATGATTCTTTATAATTAAACAAAATGTAAAATATTTTCAAATGTAGAGTCTCATTGTGTAGAATTCACTACATTATTGGGTTTTTTTTTGTGCATTTCAATGATGATTTTGTGTTTGTTTGTGTGTGGATGTTTAGCTTGTATTGGCAAACCCAGGAGGGGAGATGATGAAGAAGCTTGAAAAGTCAATGTTAATGGAGTCAATAGGGAAAGAGTGGATATATTTGACAGTGGCAGAAGCAGTAAATACATGCAATTACATTCTCCACACCTGCAAGCCCCCCAAGGCGGCGGCCGCCGACGCCACCACCGCAACGACTGAGATTGCGGCAGCAGCATATGACAATGTGTAGTGATATAATAATTGTATATATACATATAACGATTGGTGGGACCCATTTTCGCAACGGGTTGTCCTACCTTGGCTTTGTTCTCTTCGACCTATCTGATTAGTTCTAATCTGATCCGATTAAGTTCTAATCTCATTGTAGTTATATTGAATGTTGTTTTTAATCTGATATAATTCTAATAAGAATATATAAGTAGTAATAAATAAAAAAATTAGTTGAAGACGGCATGGTTGAGAACATGAGAACACCAAATTTTCAATTTTTAGAAAGAATAAATTTCCTAATTGATCCTTTTTAACAGGTGATTTTCTATATTTAATCTCCAATGCTAAAATATTATATAAATGATTTTCAATTTTTTAAAACTGTTCCTTAAAGTCTCTTAAGCAAATATGACAAAATATTTTTCTACACGATCTGAAACAACGTTTATGGAATAATTTCAAAAATTGAAAATCATTTATCTGATATCTTAGAATTGATCATTAATATGAAAAATCACATGTAATTAGAAATCATTTATGGTATGTTTCAAAATTTAAATTTGGATTTCAGATTTGGATTTAGCTCAATGTTGTTTCGATGTGAAGGTTTTGGAGACCAAGTCTACACATCAAATATGTCTTTGAGATTTTATTTTATTTTATTGAAACAGATTAATCCAAAACTGGCTCCGGAACGGAACAAAAAAAAACCTTCGAAATCTTTCCCGCCAAAACCCCCCAATCGAAACATGCCCTAAAGAAAATGGACAAGAAGTTATAAGCCAACGGCGCCGTGATAAATTCATTTCCACTCTCAGTTTCAAATATTCAAGCAGCAAAGTGTTTCCCCCCCTAACCCGCGATATATATTACGGAGTATATAACGAACAAAAGGCTTGCAATATACGAGGGATCAAACCTTTGCGAAAATGAGCTTACAGTTGAAAGTCGAAACAACCAAGTGGCTTGAGAAACCGCTCTCTTCCCATTTCCATCCTTTTGCCATACCAAAGTAGAGCATCAAGAGGATCTCATCCATGTAGAGTCACTGGGATTGCCAGTTTCTTCAATTTCATGAAGAACAAGGCTCCTTTCTCATGAGATGTATGGATTATGTTTACTTGAACAGGCGAGGAATAAGTTCATGAGCACTTATGTCCAATGAAACCGGATCCCTGAAGAAAGATTGAGACATTCTTTTTAGTGCATGGACCCAAACAAAAGACAAGTTTGCAGGGATGGGGAACATATTTAAGCATTAAATCCATAAAGATGAAACTCTGTATTTCATTCAGAAATTGAGTCTTAAAAAGATCACTCTTAAGTCTCAAATAAATGGTATTACATAGGTTAGAGTTTAGCGTTAAACAGTAGCAGAGAGAGTAACAAACCTGCACAAGGTTTTCCCATTCTCAATTGAACTGGCAATAAACCAGAGCTTGCGTACAGAGGGTGATTCGAATTGAATGAAGAACCCATCACTTTGGCCATGCTTCCATTTCCTTGATCCTTGACCTTTCCACACCTAAGATTAGACGATGTAAACACAACTAATTATTAACAGATCCGGTGGTTCCCAAAGGGCTAAGAGAATAATGTCCCACCAAACTAACAACACTAGTCATTGAATGCCATGAACATGATTTTTTTCCCAAATGGAAAGAAATTATGATTTTAAGAAACCAACCTGTGGATAAGATATAGCATTCTTGGGTGTAACTAAGCATGCTGCTTGCGAGAAAGAATCTTCAGCATACTGTCTGAGGAATGAACAACAGCTGCTGTGCGTATGAGGTGACTCAAAAGCCTGTAATGATTAAGAAAAAAAGTTACACGTAAAAAACACAATGATATGACATGTTTAAGGATATATTTGTAAACTGGCAACATGTGAACCGGCCCTTGGATACAAAGCTAAAACCAACACAATCTTAAAAACAGTTTGACTTGGCACAAGAAGATGTCACAAGAATTTAAAGCTAAAACCTTGTCAATATTGACAGCTGGAGCATATTTCTCAGTGTCTGTTCTCTCCTTGTCAAGAAGAAAATAAACTCTAGCCTCCACTTTAGAAGTTTCATGCCACGATTTTATAGCAGTCTCCATGGTTTCAACAAGAAAAGAGAACATTTCATTCCTAGTCTCATCTCCACATTTTCCCGACTGCAAAAATGAAAAGATAAATAAAAAATATTCATTAATTAATTAATAAAGTAATTAAATAAGTGCTTGTCAATTCAGATACCTGCAGAGTAACTTACCAATTCAGATTTCAAAGTATCCAAATGTTTTGACACGTTGACATTAGATCTCATGATTTCCACCTCTTCAGATCGCTTTTTCTCTTTAGTTAATTGGTTAAGAGACTTGATTTTCTTTGATACCTCCACACTTTGCGGGTTGTGCTTTGATGCGATCTGGAAAGCTTCCATTGCCTATATTATGTAAACCAGAAACATCAGCAACATATATATGGTTTTTATTGGGAAAAAAATCAAAAGTTTGTTTGGATAGCAGGTAGCAGGTAATGGATGGAAACACAGCTTATGTATATATCTTGATATATGAAAATTGAAGTATTAAAAAACTCCTAATGAGTATATTTTTCAGTTTTTCTACTCCCGATGTCGCAATGTGTTTGATTTTTGTAGTCAAAGTAGACAATAAATAAATATTACAGTATATTAATAAAATAAAATAATTGTTTGAAAATATTTTACAACATAAATCTAATTAAATAATTATGTACCAATATGTAATGGAATTTTTATGTACTTGATGGATGAACGTAGTATAAAATATAAATACCTTCTATTTGTTTTTATAAACATTCTATTCATCAAAATAAAAACTAAGTCCTCCAAAATCCCCTCGTAGAAGCGGAAAAATCCTCCATCTCAATATACCCATAGAGTTTTTCTTACAGTGAGATTTTCTTGCAGTGAGAGAGAGAGAGAGAGATACACACCTCATCATATCGTTCCATAGCCTCTAGTATGCATCCTTTCCTAAAATACCCCTGTGTCACAAGTGGTTACATAATGCACACCGCAAAAGTTTGTGAGCATAATGACATGCCTTAACTAAACAGCTACAAGAAGAACTTGATACCTTTTCCCAGTCAGGCTTCAAGCTGATTGTCATCTCTGCATCAGCAAGTGCTTTATTCAGTTTAACCAGATGGAGAAACGCTGCAGCACGATTGCTGGAAAAGACATAAACAAAGACAAAAAATGTGCTGAACCATGAGGAAAAATCACGTCCAAAAATACATTGTTTTATTTTTTTATGATTTATACTCCCTCTGTCCTGATATGTTTGTCCACTTTTCCTTTTTGGGCCGTCCGACGTATTTGTGGACTTTCTTTATATGGAAAATGAGTAAAGGATTAGTTTACCCTTTTGCCCCAACTATATTACACTTATTACTCCTCAACCAAGCCTTGTCCTTGGTATATGTGCAAAAAACAAGAGCATTACAATTATTTCTCCAATTTTAATCCTTCTTATTGGTTTACGTGCAAAAAAGCGAAGTGGATGAGCACATCGGGATGGAGGGAGCATAGTTACAGAATTCGTTCCCAGAGCCGCGATTTCCGAATTGGTACGAGTCGTACCCAATCGCAAGTCGCCTGCGATCCGATCGCAACCGGTACGGCGATCCAAATCGCGATGGTACGGCGCTCTAATTTGCGATGGTACGGCGATCTAGATGCCCAGGTACGTCGCACCAAGTCGGAGAAAGTGGAGTACCAATCGCCGGCGGTCCAGCGATCCAATCGCGACTTCCTCTCTTCCGCGACCTTCCCTCTTCCAATTCGCGATTGTTCTCTCGCGTAAATTGAAAAGTTCCAATTCGCGATTGCACTTCCCCAAGATTCGCGTGAGTTGTTCCAAGTCTCCGTACGTTTCGCGATTGTTCCCTCTGTAACTCCATACTTCTCTCCGTAAATATTTCTTTTTCCTAGGCAGTCTCCTTATTTATATATATATTGTCTTACCCTCTCAAGTCTCACCACACAACCCAACCTAAAGTCCTCAACTTTCAATTGTTTCTCTATTTTTTCAATGGCTTTTGGCAAAAATAATAAAGCACTTATGCTCATCTTATCTATTTTTGTTTACTTATGTTTTGACTTTTGGTACGCCGAACCGAATAAATGGTACACCGTACCGCTTCATACCGTTTCGTACCGAAATGAACCTACCCCCCTNTTCGCGTGAGTTGTTCCAAGTCTCCGTACGTTTCGCGATTGTTCCCTCTGTAACTCCATACTTCTCTCCGTAAATATTTCTTTTTCCTAGGCAGTCTCCTTATTTATATATATATTGTCTTACCCTCTCAAGTCTCACCACACAACCCAACCTAAAGTCCTCAACTTTCAATTGTTTCTCTATTTTTTCAATGGCTTTTGGCAAAAATAATAAAGCACTTATGCTCATCTTATCTATTTTTGTTTACTTATGTTTTGACTTTTGGTACGCCGAACCGAATAAATGGTACACCGTACCGCTTCATACCGTTTCGTACCGAAATGAACCTACCCCCCTTCGTACCGAATTCGTTACCTCTAACGAATTTCGTACCCGTACCGCGTACCCGTACCGAAACGTACCGCGATTTATGTGACTATGGGAGGGAGTACTTTTTTTGTGAAAGATTCTACTATTTCAGGCTGCAGAAATTATAAGACTCAATGTTAAGGTGTTCGATGAAATCCCAAAGAGTGATCCTGATGTCCTGAAACTGAAAAGTTTCATATGCAGCTCACACACAATTGTGTGATTCTAAAGGTGGTTCCAATTATCATTAGTGTTAGTTATTTTGTTTCAAACTCACATCACAAGTCACTACAGAAGTACACAACAGCAGCCCTGATAAAACTTAAGCATGATTCTATTTTGAGGTTCTGCCTAAAGCAGAACCGATGTCGAGAACCTCTAAATGAATCAATTCTTAGAATCACTACAAAAGTTTAGGTTACCTTCATTTTATTTTTAATCTGATTTTGTAGTAATGTGCATCAAGCCATCAGAAAGTTGAAACAATATGAAATCATGGGGTGGGCAAAAGGAATATTACATACTGGGTATAATAAAGCCATATCCACGCATAAAGGAAAAAGAGAAGAAAAAACAGATCAATTCATCTTTCATTTTTATGAGATAGGCAGTGACTCCCATCAATCAGCCCTGATGCAAAAGTAAACTCATTAATCCTTAAATTATACTCTCTCAGTCCCATAATAATGTTCCAGTTTCGGATCACGATGTTTGACCATGTAAATAGTAAAGTGGGACATTAATAAGGGACAGAGGGAGTAATCAATTTAGGAAAAGTGGGCTTATTTCTAACTGCAAAAATGAGTCTACTTAGTTTAATCATAACCAATGGGGGTACATATAACCATTTTCCTTACATTGAACAATAGAACTGGCATGTATACACCTAAGCATCTCATTTGTATCCGTTTTCCATTCTTGGCTGGGCATTTGGCACCCCGCAATATACGGTTATATGGTGAAACAAAACAACAGCAATACATAGACGAAAAACACAAAGAAATGGCTAATAAGAAGTAGATTCCACCAAGTAGAAAATTTATACAATTACTCCTGCTTCCCTGAAAATTGCAATAAAGAACACCCAGTGAACATTTCTCTTCCTTTTTTCAATAAACACCCTCATTGCTCATCTGCTTCTCTCCCACCCACGAGCAGCCGGTATAGATATGCATGTGAACAGAAATATCCAAGCTACTTATGTAGTTTTCCTAAACACACATTCTGTATCAGTAATGTCGAAGTACCTGTAGAGAGTGTGGTTTGATGGGTCTTGCTTGATGGCCTGAGTGTAGAGAGCCGCGGCTTTCAGATAGTTCCCGGCTTTGAAGAACTCGTTGCCCTTATCTTTTAACGAGGCTTCAGATTTAGCATCGGAATCTCCCATGATCGTCTTCCCTTTTAGGAAATTTGCCCTAATTCGGGTTGCAGATAGTTTGAGACTGTGATTTTAGGGTTTCAACTATGCTTCTCCCGGATTTGAATTGGGGGGTAAATCTCCTTTGCTATCATCAATTCATTATCACTTTTTTCCCCTTGCAATTATTACTAAATACTTATTCGCATAAAAATAAAAATTAAACTAAAAATGTATTTCATATATTAGTATAAAAATAAATACATCAAACTTATCTTGTACGGATTATAAAGTTTTGAGAAATTTATTTCATTCTATCAATTTGCAAAGTAAATAAAATATAATTTTATAATTAAAGTTCAGACAATGTGATTTGAAAAAGTCAAATTTTATGAATATTTTGGGACATGAGCATATTTTTATTACATTCAAATTCTTTTAATGAAATTAAGTTTGTACAATGCTAAGACTTTGATATTATATTTAAAAAAAAATTGGATGTTGAAAAAAACTGAAAAAAGTTGAAAAATATTAAAGGAATTAAAAGAAATTAGAAAGATTTAGATAAAATTTGGAGTTAAGAAATTGAAAAAATTTTTAAAAAATAGAAAGAGATGAATTTGAAGAACGTTATTATTATTATTATTATTATTCTAAATTCGTTTCATTATACAATGTACTTGGTTCGTCCTTGAGTGTTTGTCCACTTTTGACTTTTGGAACTGTTCATCTAAGCACTTTGACTCATCAAATTCTCTCAATGTATAAGCCTAAAAATAGTCATGTATGATCTTGTTTGATTCGTTTTAACATATAGATTATTAATATATAATTTTTATAATTTTTTAATATACAAATTACAAGATAAAATGGATTAAAGAAGTGCATTGGATGGTGTGCAAAAATGAAAGTGGACAAACACTCAGAGACGGAGGGAGTACTTTTTAGATCGTTTTTATTATTATTCTAAATTTGGAATAGTATTTAAATTTTTATTTAGTTTTATTGTGTATATATTTTAGGATGGTTGTAATGGTAAACCTTAAAAAGTAATTTTAATATCGCAATGTTAGCGTCACAAAAAAGTTAAAACTCACTAATTTTTTAAACATATTTATGTAACAATTAACCTACAAAATCAACTATAAAAAATATTTTTAATAAAAATAAACAAATTAAAAGAAAGAAAAAAGTAGGAGAGATATGGTAATCCGAAACATTGTTTCTCATAAACTTAACCCTCATTTTTGTGGACCTTCTTACATAATTTATTTTTTTTCTTAAAAATAAATACTTATTTAAGTAGTAAACAAATACTTTTTTTACTCATATGTGTGTCCATGGTAGACCTTATGTCTATCATAGAATTTGTCCCTTAGAGTTATTAGCTTATTACTCATTTTTTTGGTAAGGAATGTATAATATATTTCTTAAAAATGTTCATTTTTTCTTATAAAAATATTTATTCTCACATGATGAATATAAAATACTCAAAGTAAATCCAAAATGCATAATCAATCTACAACTTAAAAATATTTGATTATTTGAATTTCATATTTCATAGGATACTCAACAGTGAATTAGTGCTTCTCCACTCACTCATACAGTCATATGCCTATTTGTATTGTACCAAAAGAAAATATGCCTATTGGTACATTACTCCTACACGACTTTCTTAAAACAAACTTCCATGTTTTAAATTAAACCACATGAACAAAAATTATTGTTTGTCTAATTAAAAAAATTGGAGACGTGAATGTACATTCTCAATGACTATATAAAGAATTATGGCAACATTGTGTACAAATTGGGGCATACAAAGTGTACAACAAAAATAATATTTTTCATATCGGGGGCGTTGCTTAAATGACAAAGATGCGTAAAAAAGATATAATATCTGATTCCAACTTCTGTTAACGACAAAGACATTCGTAGCATGGAGTCCTTATGTATTCCAAGAATATATTTCATTTTTTCTTTATCAATTACAACTCGATTTTCAGATTGACACATAAATTAATAAATAAAAAATAAAGACACATTGATGACAACAACAACAACAATAATTTATAACAACTAGAATTAGAATGAGAACAATATAAAAATACACAAAAAAAAAGAATTTTAAAGTTTTTTTAGATTTTTTATTTTTTTCTAGTTTTTTAGTTTCTTTTAATTCTTTCCAATTTCTTCTAGTTCATTCAAGTTTCTTCCAGTTTCTTTCAGTTCTTCCAGTTCCTTCCAGTTTCTTCCAACATTCAGCTAGCTCTAAGTCTAGCTGCAGTACGTGCATCACGAGGAGGGATATCTGTTATCGGCGCCAATGGAAATGGCCACGAAGGTAAGCCATAAATCATTTTTTGTTTTTTTCTTTCCATTTAATTTTTGAACTATAACGTGTATTTTATCCATAATTTTTTACATACAAGTCATTACTTGATATATAATACGGAGTAAAATATGTCGTTGGAAATATTTTTACAAGATCTTTCCAATGATGCTAATATTGCTTATATAATTTTGAGGTTATGTTTCACTTATATTTTCGTGCAAACACTTCTAATTGAACGAGGTATGTTTTATTATTATATTTTTTGAAAGAAACACATTTAATATCAAATTCTGTCATCATGTTTTTTTCTTTTTAAATTAAACTAACTTATGTTTTTTTGTTATGCTATTAAAAAAGTAAAACATGTTAGGAATAATCGAAACCGAAAATAGTGTTACTTATAACGTATTTATATGATTTTTTGTTCAAAAAATTGGGGGTAATCCTATTTTTAGTTGTGCAATAGAGTATTTTCTATTATGAATTGTTTTTTAGCATGGTAAAAAAATTCTATAAAAATTTAAAGAAATCAAATAAAAAATCAAACAAATTCTATATGAATAATAAATTGAAATAAAATACCAAAAAAATTTAATAAAGCAAAAAAAAACCAAAATAGAAAAACAGAAAAAAGATTAAATTTTAGTCTTATATAAAAGATAAACTTTAATTTGGGTAGAAATAAATAAATATTAAATTAAAAAAAATAAAAGAACAATCATTATACGGAGTAGTAGAAGTGAAGGACTACGATGTAAAGTGAGTGAGATGGTGAGTGCTGTTAGTGGCTGCAGATTTGGAATGAGCGATGGTTGAACGCTACAAATAGGCAAATAGCCGAATAGATCATTTTAAGCATTTTCCTAGAACTCAAATATTCATGGAAATCATGGCAAAATGATACTCCTTCCGTTCTCCAAAACACTTCCTCTTTTATTTTTTTTCTCTTCCACCGAAACACTTCCACTTTCTATTAAAAACCACTTTTTACATCTACTTTTCTTATCCTACCAATCACATCATACTATTTCTCTAATAATCTATCCATCAAATCTTACTTTTACATATCACATCAAAGGTAAAATTGGAAGTCAACTATAATTTAACACTTCATTATTTTCGCGCCTGGTCAAAATGGGAAGTTTTTTCAAGAACGGATAGAGTAAATTTTTGCATTTCGTGGTGGATTTTTATATAAACTAAATAAGTATTTATTATTATTTTTTTAGTAAAATAAGTATTTATTTATTATTGAGATAAATGTATTTTCATATAAACTAAATAAGTATTTACACTCCTTTTAAAAAATAAATAAATACGAGTACACAATTACATATGTGAGAAGTGAGAACTGAAGAGACAGTGATATATAATACCACTGCCTCCTCTCCACGACTCCTAGCAAGAACAAACATTTGGGAGTAGAAATCTCATCTCATCAAAAACCAAACGCTGTAACTCAAAAGGCTCAACCATGATCGGCTTCGTTGGTAAAATTATCCAAACCCATAAGTTTCTCCCTACTGCCTGCTTAAATTCGTTAAAGAACAGAGGCTAAAATGTCTTCTTGTTTAGTTTTCTTCTCCTCTTTTTGATGTTGTTGCTGTTAATCTGTGTTGTTGGTTGTTACTCGACTACAGAAAGATGAAAACTTTTGGGATTTTTCTTGTCTGTCAAGAAAGTTCCAAGTCAGTGTGAGTTTTGGTTATGAACAGATTGATGGATAAGAAGAAAAACAATACTTTGTATAATTTATTTTTTAGAAGAAAAAAAAATAGTTTCGGTTGTTTGTGATGTTGGTTTTGGTTAAGTTTTGGTGAATTTGTGTGGTTGGTTTGTTGTTGCGTTGCAGGCATTGTTGAAGCAGACAAAAGCTATGGTGGTGGCTCTTCTGGGAAGAAGAATCAGCAGGTTGTTGGCTATGGCAAAAGGGATGTCGTGCAGAGCTACCCGTACGGGACTGCGGGTCCAGCTGGCAATCGGGCCACCCAAGTCCGTGAAGTGACGAGCAGGGTGAAGAGTGAGGACAAGAGGACTGGTGGGTATGAGCGAGTCACAGTGAAAGAGAAGATGACCAAAGGAGAGACTCATTTCGAGAGATCAACAGGGAGGATTGGCATTGCAGACGAGTACAAGAAGTCTTCGACTGTCAAGATTGGGGATAAGACTGGGTACACTGAATATTATCACGAAGAGAGGGTTCGCAGGGTGAACTATGATTGTGGCAAGAGCAGCAACAGGCTTGGGCAAGGCAGTCAAAACACTACCATTAGTGTCAGCCATGGCGGTCCAAGACCCGTTGGGATCAAGAAGAACACTACTAGTAGTGTGACTGTGAACCATGGGAAGAATCAGGGCACGAAAGTTACCATCAACTATGGGAACAAGAAGAATTGCAGCAGCTCCGCTGGGAAGCGCATGTTGAAGTGAAACTAAATGCTTTTTATATTATGTTCTGCTATAATAATGTTAGCTGTTGTTTTCACAAGCATCAATGCACTGCTTTTATGTTATGCAACATACTGTTTTCTCATGCATTTTGGCTACACCTATGTTGTTAAGGTGGTATTTGTGGTTATGCAATCTGTGTTTTTCTTCATGTTCAACTTGTTTTTATCTGTTTTCAGTTTTTGGTTTTGTTTGGGAGCATGGTTGTTATGTCCATTTGCCAAGGGACTTAAAAAGTCTTTTTTTTCACAATTCTTTTTAGCTTAGAGTGAATAACAGACTAAATGAAGTTTTGGATAGCAAATGCAGCAAATCATATTGTGATCAAACATGAACAGAAGCAAAACCGGATAGCCGCGAACTTATATAAACAAATGATTAACTATCACTCTTCAAGGTTATTAGTATCAAAGAGGAGAGAAATAACTACAAGGTTATTATTATCACCAAGGGAACAAACAATGAAAGCTATTTTACAAATATAACCCCGTGTACCGCACGCCTGTCCAGAGAAAAAGGAAGAGGAAGAAGAAGCGTGACTCACTGGTTAGGAGTGAGAGAAGGAAATGTGGGGATGGATTGGAGAATCAGCTTGCGGCTGCTCCTGCGCCCAGGAGAACCAGTCCCAAACTCACTCTCAGGAGGTGTGACTCTCTTGCTGTTTGGGGATCCTGACTTTACGCCGCTGGTTGGGGACGCGTTTGTTTGCTGAAGCATTTCTGGGATTTCGTCCCCCTCCTCCATCAGCACCATCTCAACAAACTGCTTCTTCTCAAACTTTGGTAGAGGCCTGTTCATTCCAGCTGATGAAGATCCAACCGAAAGATACGATGATGATCTAGGTGGCCTGTTCTTGGAGGGATAAGGGAACTGCATTGGCGGTCTACACACAACAAAAAAAATTGCATTTTTAACTTTTTTTTTTGCTGAAACAAAAGATTGCTGATATGGGTCTTAGGGCCTGTTTGGGGAGTTCCATTTCAGCTAAATATGCAAGTCAAAAGCTGTTTATGGTCCAAAATCTAAGAAATGTTTTTTTTTTGGTTTCAGTGTACCTCTTGAAACGTATTGGAGTCTCAGGCAGGACTGAATCAAGAAGAATGTGTTCCATCTCGCTCTGGACAACGAGCTTCTGTGAACTCCCATTCACACTCTTATTAGTGAGATCTGTTTCTTCGTCATCCAACTCGGGATCTGAACCTGTTGTTTGAAAATAAAAAGCCAAGTCATATACAATACCTTTCAGCTCATAAAAATACTTTTGGACAAAACCATTTGCTTTTCAAAAGGGATAGTTTTTAGTTTAAACAGTTTCTCAAAAAAAAAACATTTTTAGGGGCACTCTGTGGAGAAAATATAAATAAAATATGCCTACTCACCATTCTTTCTACCAAACGCATTCTTACAGCCTTCACATCTGCAATTAACAGAGCATCCAACGCCACCCTACACAAATAAGAAGAAAAACGAATTTAAACTCCAACTCAAAATGCATATTCATATGAGATGCGTTTTTTTGTTTCCTTCATGTGCGAGAGGAAGAACCTGATAGCATTCACAGTATTTCTTTAGACATCCAGATTTCTTGCAGTTGCATCCTCTCTTATGTCGAGCTGAAGCAGGTGTTTTATTGGAGTCATCCTGCAATGGCAGTGAAACAAGAAGAAGCCATTAGTGATTTAATATCTTTGGTGTAAAAGATAGGAGAAGAAATTGGGATCCACAAGGACAAAGAAAACACCACACAATTCTTTCCTTAAATATGAATAACAAATAATGTAGTAGAATAATGTTTCATCCACTTTCCTCCCCTTTTCCTCCAACCAAACCATGGCATAAAAGAATGTGCATATATAGCATAATACTAACCCCGGTTTCAGACATAGAATCATTGGCACGAATCACTTTGGGAGCAAATGCAAGTGGATTTCTGGACTCTATCTGTTTGCGGGTTGCAAGAACAGTATCTTCATGAATAGGCTTGTTGAAGCATTCTTGACATAAACATGGTTCCACGCAGTAGACGCCAGCAGCAAAACACTCACAATAACTGCAAACAAAAAGTTATATTAGACATCATTATAGTGTAATTGAAGCCTAGCTGTCATCTGGTAAGGAATTTATTCTGTTTTGCATTATTGTTTCCTTTTTCTGAAACGAGAAAATGTGTTAAAGTATTGTGTTTGCTTATGAGGAAAAAACAAACAGAATTGTTAATACTATTGGTAAACACAAGTTTCTTGTTTTTATCATTTTTGAGAACAAGTTTCCATTTCATAAACTACCCACCATTTTGACTTTTTATATGAATGAATGAATCTTATATTTTCATAGTAAATAATACGGAGTACAAATAATTTACCAAAGCACACACAATGAACATGTTTTTTTTTATTTTAGAAATTTGAAAAAAAATAAAAAAATAATATAAAGTGGAATATCAACAACAAAAAAAACCCGAGTTTGATCCTATATGAGTAGGGTCCAGGAGGGTGGGTGTGCGTACATTAAGGGCTTGCTTAATGAGGGTTTGAGGGAACAAGTGTCACAAATTCTTTGGACAAATCAAATGGTCGACTAACTACATGAAGGACTAAATGTCAATGGATTTAAACCAGAACTAAACAACCCATCAGGAACATTTAGAATGAAACTTCAGATATCAATTAATAAAAACTTACAGTTTCAAACATTTTGATTTCTTGCAATTGCAGCGCTTGCAACCTTCACTTTCTTTAGACTCCACTCTACGCCTGAAAAATTTTCAGTTATTTATAAGATGAAAAAAATGTAATTTCTTGCAAACATTAACACTATGTGTGGTTCAAGGAATTTGGGAGGGAAAGGAAAAGAAAAAGAGATGGAAATCAATTTTCATGTTTGGTTAGAGAGGAAAAAAAAGAAGTGGAAGGAAAAGAAAATGAGAAGAAAAAATAAGCTAAGAAGAAGGAAAGCAGGACTCCTTCTGTTTTGGTGAGGAAAAGGAGAACCATTTTAGTGCCTTTCATTGTACTCTCTTGGAGGCTTTGGTTTGGTCCACCCCTGTTTCTGTACTTTTTATAATTAATGCAATTTTATTTTAAAAACAAAAGGAGAGAAAACATTTTTTTCCTTTCGTTCCAAATTCCTTTCAAAATTCCTTGAACCAAACATAGGGTAAAGGAAAAATGTTCGATAAAATCCATTTAGGCCAAATAAGTATGTCAAAAACGATTACTTTGCTGATTAGCATCATAAGCAACTTTTGGCTAATGGCTACCGAACAAGCTTCTTTTTCTGCTTAGCGTGTTCATAATCTTTTGTGTGGAAGAAAGAGTCAGTGTGTGTGTGTGTGTGTGAGAGAGAGAGAGAGATACTTCTTTTTCTTCGGACTACTTGAGTTGATATCGTCATTGGCAAAATGACCAGCATCATCATTAGAAGAAACTACAATTTGCAGAGGAAGAGCTTCCCTATCTGAAGAAGACATTACAGCCAAGGGTTCTTGACTAGTGGTGATGATTGAACGATGATAATTGGGAGCCGAACCGGGTCCAATTACTAGCTGTCTCCCTAAAGCAAAAGATCCCTTTTTTGTGCCCCCCTTCGGGGTTGCAGCAGCAAGGGCATTCAAATGCAAGCCAATTCCGGGTAGGATGCAACGCGAAGAAGATTCACTTGGAGCAACCAATTGGCTGTCTCTTGAGGTACTGTTTCCATCATCACGCTCAACCAATAGTGCAGAAGAGCATGAACCTGAATTGTCATTTAAAGGCTGTCTCCGGGTCCCGCCTACCTCAAAGACCAAACAACGCCTTCTCATCCCACGATATAGCCCAGAAACCATCTACATAATAACAGCGTGAACAGAGAAAAAGGATTAGACAAATATGTGGGTCATAACTAATTAGAACACATTAAACCCGTAACTACTTTAGTTCACACTTCTTCCCTCTGTCGCATTTCATGTGTCATAGTAACTATGATTAGTGACTATGATAGTGAAATTGGACATAAGGAATAATAACTATAGTAGTCAAGGGGATGTTGCCAAATTGGTAAAAGGGCTGTGTGAAAAAAGATTTTGTTGCTCTATAAACGAATAGATTTTAAACCTCAGCATCCATCTCATTTGGTCCCCCTGTCATGGGATTATTACTCAACAAAGAATCGGCACATCTGGCCTGAGTTTCATCATATTGGTGCAGTTCACATCCCTCGTCTGGTTGGGTAGCTTGGTTTTGCATTTCACTTCCATTTCCAACCCCTTCACAATAACCAGCTGCAGAAAGCTTTTCCATGCCCTGTTTCATTTCATCATTTGTAACCAATGGAGCGGACCCCGGGCTTGTGGGACCCATTTCCTTCTTGAGGGCACCCGCATCATTGGGTGAATCAAAGATTAATATATCGCCACCTTCTGTTATCATCAAGCGTTCCCATTCACACCCCGCAGAAGTTTCTTGGTCCTTATCGGCCTGTTGATGGCCAACAGCTCCTGTTTTCTCCTCACATCCCATAAAATCTTTTTCTTGCCCCAATGGACTGGAATTAGGGCTGCTGCATTTGTAATCTAAAGTTCTTACAATCTCAACAGACGGTTGGACAGAAGCATCAACCATAGACTTTTTGGTGTCAACACTTTCCTGTTGCTCACTTGCATTTTCAGCAGCTTCTGATTCAATGCCCTCAGGTTTCTCAACTCTGTGATCACTATTATCATCAAAAGAGAACTCTGGTTTCGATGGATCGGGAAGCTGATGCCTGCAGATAGGATAAATATAGTTTGAATTGGAGATACATGGTACTAAATTGGTCATAATTTTCCCCGAATGGGCTGCACCAACCCAATAGGTAGACAAATAAGCCCAAACCAACTCGCAGGCGAGCTACACAAACTATCAACTGGAGGGGGTCCCACAAACCACCACTGGATTATGTAAAATTGGATCATCCAGAGAAAAGTTTACTTAAAAATTACAAGGCTCACTAACAATAACTGTTTATTAATTGAGGTTTATTCTTTAACTATTTTGGTATGAAGAAATCATTTGTCGTGACAAGATTCAGAAAAAAAAAGAACCATGCATTATTCTCACCCTAAAATTCAAAAGATAGATCACTTGAAAGAGCATATAGAATACCTTCTTAGGAACCTTGATTCCTTTAAACTGCTCACATGTGGTGAGGTGAAAACGGATGGAAGAGAGGCAAAACTTAGGGAATTGAATGTCTGTGTTATGTGAACAGACTTAACCGGCTGTTGTATTGGGGAAAGGTTGTTAAGAAAATTGAAAACGGGCGAGTCCTGCAACCAAAAGAAGCGAAGTTATTCAGAATGTAAGAAGAAAAACTCTCTAGAAAAGACACAATGCAGGTGAATAGAAGCCAAAGTAGAGTAGAAATGATGAGATAAAACAAGTGAAAAATTTTAAACATGACCTTATTCAAAACTTTTCAATGTCCTATGTGCAGGATAGTATTTATATTTTTACAATATGAGTCCTTACATTAATTGGGTACCACAATTAACAACAGCTAGCAATTCAAAGATCATTAACACCCTCTAAACAAATGACAGAAATATGATGGGCTGAAATTTGGTAACAAAACAAGCAATTAATTTATTCCCAAGATGGCAAGAAATCAGCCCAGAAAAAAACCCTACTCATTGCCCATAATTACTGCATTATATTTCGAATCACAGCAATCAGAGTAAAAAAGGTCTCATTAATTAACCAAAAACACCATTTTCTACCAACACTTCAGATCAGGTAAATCAAGAGGGGAAAATGGTAAAATCAGTCTGATTAAATCAAGAACTTTGTCTGATGCCAACATTATAGATCAAACATATTAGAACTGATTTGAAGGGGAAAACCCCCACAATTCCCATTCTGATCTTTCATAAACCAAATGCAGAAACACACACGCAATACTATGTATTCAAACGAATATACAAAAACCCATTTGTAGAAGAAAATCCTTCACAATGACCAAAAGAAGCAATTCTCGAAAACCCATTGCCCGAGGAACAAACATCAAAATAGGATTTCAAGAAAAAAATGAAATCTTTATGACCAAATCAGCAACAAAAACCTCGAATTTGGACAGGGGCGTTGCGATCTGGCTGTTCTTGTTCCTCTCTGGAGTGTCCATCGCAACATCTCCTCCTTTCTTCCCCTCTAAAATGACACTCTCTACCCTCATCTCTCTCTCTCTCACTCTCACACACAGTGAGGCTTCCAAGATTGTATCTTTCACTCACTCACCCACTCCCAGTGGAGAAAAAAAGGCGAAATTCAAGTAGAGGCGGGAATTGAAGATGGAGAAGAATGGACTTTTCTCGTGCTGATAAAGACCCTGGGGCCCACCGCCCCCGCTCCCCTTCCCACCCCCCACCACCAGACTCCACACAAAGGGAAGATGCCACCGCAACCCAACAAGCACAGCTGTAGAGAGGGAGGGGGGAAAGAAACATTTGTAGAGAGAGAGATTCTTGGGAGAGAACGGAGAGATATTACTACTGTGGACAAAAGTAACGTACATCGGAGAAAAAATGGATTCAAGAAGGTGTATATTGCCCCAGCAGTCCCCCAATTCTTGGCTCCTTTCGTTCTTGCCCCTGCCCACTTTTTCTTTTTGGCGTTTGACAATGTCTAAGAAACCAAAAGAGGAAACTAAAAGATGGAGATTTGCAGCCTCAGAATTTGGTGCCACGATTTTCGAAGTTCAGATGTGGCCTTCAAAGTCAGTTACCAAAATTCTAAAAGAGGAAGGGAAATTGTACAATATTTGTACCCCAAAGAAAAATGTGGAGTACAAATATAATGGTCTTGTTTGGGAACATCATTTTCGATTAGCGTTAGTATTTTTGTTAGAATATAAATAACTGTTCCTGGGCCACAACCACAAGCTTGAGCTTCTGGTTGAGTTGGTTCCTTGACATGGTATCAGAGCCTCGTTGACTAAGAGGTCACGGGTTCGAAACTCAGCGCCACCCAGTTTAAAAAAAATTAAGGTTTCACATGCAAGGCTCGAAAAAAACCACGCCTGCACGTGAGGGGGGCGTGTTAGAATATAAATAATTGTTCCTGGGCCACAACCACAAGCTTGAGCTTCTGGTTGAGTTGGTTCTTTGACAATTTTGGATAAAATTTTAATGGTGTACATTAAAATTCTGAAAACGCTAACGCTAAAGGTTACTGTTAGATAACCTTTTCAAAACGCTGACACTAATCTCTAATGCTGATGTCAAACGGAGCCAATGTCTATAATGTTTGTGTCTAACAATGCATTAAATCTTTGTGTTTGTCTTTGGCGTACAATTGTTGGGGTGGAAAATGCTAGGATGCCACCACATGGGTGCTACCATGTGTGCACCCATGCTTCACACAGACAAACACAGACGATAATTGTCTGTGCGTATGTGGTGGCACCCTAGCATGATCCTTGTTGGGGTACCTTATCTTTGTCGATATCGAATTTTAGGCGACTATAATCTTGTGAAATTATTAAAAAAAACATGAAATTCACTTAAAATTTAAGGAGAAGTGAAACACAAACATTTTCTTTTAATAAATGAAACTTGCTTGGTGTAATGAGCAAAAAGCAATTATGGAATCTTTTTTTTTCAGAGAGGATGAACCCTATATATGTTGAGAATAAAGTACAATAAAAAGGGAATGGGGTAGAATATAATAGATATATACCTTCCCTATTCTTATTGTTGAAAACCCAAAGAAAAATATGCGAATATGGCATTTTTACCTTTATGTTTGCTAAGTACGGAGTAATTAGGTTTGATTAACAAACTAAGGTTTTGTTTTTTATGGGTTCTAATTATTCACTTTCAAGTTTTAACGTTTTCCAAAATTTTTAATTATTTTCTTCTTTTTTTTAAGTTTTGTTTGACTCGTAATTTTTTTTAACTTCTTTTGATTTATTTCAATTTATCTAACTTCTTTTCATTCTTTCATTTCATCAATGACTTAGAGCTGCATATTCTTTATGCTGAAAAAAAAAGAAAAAAACTAGAATAAACTAGAAAAAATGAAAAACTAGAAAAACTAAAAGAAATTAGAAAAAACTAGATAAAACTAAAAAAACTAGAAAAAACTGAAACACACTGAAAAAACTCCAAAAATTTATTTAAGTGTATTTTACATAGTATTCTTATTATAATTGTTATTATTATTATTATTATTACTATTATTATAATTATAATAGGTAAAAAAGTGAAAAAAATTCGACCATGGAATAGTATATATGTCATTTAAATAGGGACTGATATAGTAGTATATAATTATTATTTTTTTATTTGAAAATATTGATATTTTTGCTAGGTCAATTTAGATTAATGAGATATCCATAACTTTTTGAACATCGTTTAATTAGTGCCATGTAAATTTTAAAAAAAAAATCTCAATAAAATTATACTTCGTATTATTTATATTAAAAATGGAAGAAAGAATAATAATGAATATGAATCATAAAACAGTGACATTGGAAATAGAAAATTTGAAATTAAATAATTTATAAACTATAGTTATAATAATAATAATAATAATAATAATAATAATAATACTCCGTAATAATAACAATAATCATCCTATCCATGAAAAATACATTATTTTTGGAATCATTATTTGAGAGTAAAAAGAATTGAAGAAAATGAGAATAGTTGAAAACTGAACAAATTGGAAAAAATTGGAAAAAATTGAAAGAAAAACCTGACAAAACTAGAAAAACTAGAAGTAACTGGAAGTTAAGAATTTAAGCTTTATTATTTACGTACATTTATAATATTAATTATTAATATTATTACAATTGTTGTTGTTGTTGTTGTTGTTGTTATTATTATTATTATTATTATTATTACTACTACTACTACTCCGCTATCAATTACTCCGCTATTATTATTATTGTTGTTGTTGTTGTTGTTGTTGTTGTTATTATTATTATTATTATTATTATTACTACTACCTATGTAGCCCATTATTATTACCATTGCTACTGCTAATACTAAAATAAATGTACAAAATGAGTAATGTCAAATATGTGAATACCCATAAAACGAATATAGTAACATTGTATGTCAAGATTTATAATATCTGAACTTACCAGTGAGTTGTACCTTAGCAGTTGGCATAAGGATACTACTCCCTCCGTCCTATAATGATCTTCCCAGAGCACTATTCCAACTTCACGGGAATTTATATTTATTTGTGTTTTTTCATGGCCTATATGATAAAATAAAATATTCTTGTCACCACTTGTTTTGTTGAACTTTTGGTGTAGTTTTTAAATATGTATGTTTTATTTTTTATTTCTATACCAATATTTAAATAAAATAGATTGAAAAAACTTGGGATTTTTCTTCGTTTTGCGAACCGGGAAGATCATTATAGGACGGAGGGAGTACAAAAGAGACATTATGAGTTCGAAGTCCGACGACTGCATGAAAGACAATAATGCAAAATATGAGACCTCTGCAAGTACTAGACACATCGTGTATCCCTAGTCTAACTTAAAAAAATGCATTCAACCATATAAATTTTTTTAAAAAAGATAAATGCATAAATATATAACATAACTAATTGAAAAAGAGTAAACGACTACAACAAATATCACCAAGTTCTAATTTCATATGTTTTATATATTTTAATCTTTTTTCGTAATATTTTTAAAATATTAACTCTAAACTCTAACTAACGTTGAAATTTTCAATTCAAATGCGTTGAATTATCTTATGACATTCATCTGGATCAGCACGTCCATATAACACGCGGAGTATTTAATTGGGTGATTACAATTAATTAGTCTGCTATTTACGAGCATATATTCGGGATTTGGGATGAATGTGACAATTGTTAATTTCATTCAATGCTTTTGGTATCTGCAATAATACATTGCTGTTTTCGCCCATCTTTGCAATAAACTTCGATCATTTAGGTAAATTTCTCTTATCTTATTGACCAGTCTTGTGATCGATTTTATGAATGCAGGGAAGAACGAGAAATGTCATTTGCGCCTCTTTCTAAAGTCCACGTCTATTTACGCCACAAGGAAAGATGCATTCCTTTGAATTTATTTAAATATCTAAATCCGTAAATAAAAATCTCACGGATGTACCCCGCTTTCAGGGCCGTTGTCCCCTCCTATTTAGGGTGATTTCTTCAAAACTCAATAAAAAATCAAACGTCTACTTTTAAGACGAGAGAATATTTGTTATATAGACCAAAGCAGTATAGAGTAAATTTCCCTTCTTTCGCCCGGATTTTATCTTTCAGTTTTTCTTTTTCCTTCATCCGAATTTTGTCTTTCCATTTCTCATATATATGTATGTTTCGACAAAAATGTCCTCGCTTTTTTTTGTCCAGATTTAGTCTTTCCATTTCTCATTTCTCATTTTTAAATTTTTTCAGTAGTAATATTTTGGATAATCCACCATATTTTAGACGTACAAATCCACTCCATAGTCAAGCTTTCTTAAAAATGAGAAAAAGTCAAAATAAAAAGATTAAATCGAGAATGAGCATTATCTTTCAAAAAGACCAATTAAAAATGGGACAAAAAAGCAACTGATGATCCACTATAGAAGGGGCATGACGAATTAAAGGAGTGGATCTGTCTTGGCAACTTTTGTTGGTCTTACCTTTAACTTTTGTTTGTGTTATTAGTTGGTCAAAATCTTGTAGGGAGGGCGAAGTATATGCCCATTGATCTTTATGTGTGTATATATTGCCTTTATTCCATCATTAAAGCTATGGTTTCTTCATCTCCTCATTGGTTGTTTAGTAAAGGGAGAAAAACTTGCCCATCACATGACGCCACCCACTCCTTTAACCACTCTCCCCATCCCAACACTCACTTATGTCAAAGTTGTGCTCCAATCCCCTCATTATTCATGTCCCCATTTGAATTTAGTGGGTAGAAATACATCCGATCACGGGTTTGGGTACTCGCCCCTCGTTCGACCCTCGAGTGTATATATGCACAAAAAGAAAAAAACTCTAGACTTACATTTTAATCTTTAATATAAAAAATGTTTGGGCCGTAAACAATAGTAGGGCCACATTGGGCCAGGTGGGTGCAATTGCACCCACTAGATCGCCAATGTCATGAGAACCTTGGTGATTTATTAATATGTCAGTAAGATCTTGTAGGATACTTGGCGAGAGGGGTGAGGTAGGATATGCTACAAGCTAAGATCGGTCCTTATTACTAGCAAAAGGATCTTTTTAATTCTCTATAGGAGTAGATTTGTACCCGTTGGTTTCGGTATCAGGTCGAGTATACTCGTGAGAAAAATTGATGTCTCTTATACCATATAGAAAATGTTTTTCTATGTTGATGTTTATTGCTTATTACTAATAAATAATTTTAACTTAGAAGCTGCTTATAAGTTAAATATTTTTTTCAATTTGAATTAAATGACTTAAATGATAGATGTCGTTTGGAGATATTCATAAATAGTGACAAATAGTTTTGTAGAATATTTTTTAGAATATTCGAATATAGATGTTTTTATATTTGTTTTGGGAAATACAAAACTTCTGATCCACCCTTGCCCCTCCCCCTAAACCAACAACCTCAGTCCCACCCCAAAAATTACCCTAAAAGTGATGTATTTTTAATGTGATGTTTATTATTATTATTATTATTATTATTATTATTATTATTATTATTGCCTTCATTATTATTATTACAACTATTATGTTCATAAATATAGTTTATAAATTATTCTATTTTTTTTATTTTTCCATGTCACTATTTTTACAATTCACTATTCTAAATTGATATGAGAAAAATATTTTTTAAATTTTTATAAAATTTTTTGAAAGTCAACATATTTTACAAAAAAAAACTAAACTAGGAGTAAACAAAAAAATGTACTCCCTCCGTCCAGAAATGTTCTTCCCATTTGATTTTTCAAGATCTCCAGTACGAGTTTTATGTATTTATTCCCAAAATAAGAGTTACAATGCAAATACAATGTCAATCATGAAAGAAAAAAATTAATTTGATCACATCAGTGATATGTCAAAATCTTGTAATATATAAAGTATAATTACAAATATATTATATTATAATAAACATTGCATAAATAAATTGAGGTGCAACGTAACTACAATAACTTTTTAAAATTTAACGTTTGGGAATAGCGTTAGAGATTAGCGTTAGCGTTTTGGATAAAATTTTAACGGTGCAGATTACTTTGAAAACGCTGCCCGTAGATAGTCTTTTCAAAACGCTAACGCTAATCGCTAACGCTATTCCCAAACAGGCCCTTGGTAACAGCGTTTTGTTCCGCACTTAAATAATACTCCGCATATCTCAGACAGTAAACACTTTTTGCCCAAACAAATCCAAAATGAAAACTTATTGTATCTTTGAAATCAAACAATTAAACTAATTTTACCGTGGGAAATGCTTTGTACACGAACACAATGGTTACAAATTTTCAAACTTATTATGTGTGAACTTCTATAAAAAAAATGAAATAGTCTAAAAAATATTTGAAATGAAAATTTAAACCATAAATAGTAAGTTTGTGAACTTTGTGATTATTCTGTTTGTAAACTTAGCATTGCTTGTACAAAATATTTTTCTTAGAACTTTAATTTCTAACCTACAGGTTCGTGTCAATCCCTAATTAAGTCATTAGTCAATAAATATATAGGAGCCCGCTATTGACAGTTTGAACTCAAGACCTCTTAGACAGTTGGTTGAGTTCCTAACCATCCAAGCAAGGGTGCTTTTTGTTACAAATTCACATAATCTTTTACTACCTTCATCCTAGAGTATTTGTCCACTTTCATTTTTACATATTATCCAATACACTTCTTTAATTCATTTTATCTTGTAATTTGTATATTAAAAAATTATAGAAATTACTACCTCCGTCCCACTGTTTTTGTCCACTTTTGACTTTTGGAACTGTTCATCTAAGCACTTTGACTCATCAAATTCTCTCAATGTGTAAGTCTAAAAATAGTCATGTGTGATCTTGTTTGATTCGTCTTAACATATAGATTATTAATATATAATTTCTATAATTTTTTAATATACAAATTACAAGATAAAATGGATTAAAGAAGTGCATTGGATGGTGTGCCGAAAGGTAAGTGGACAAAAACAGTGGGACGGAGGGAGTATATATTAATAATCTATATGTTAAGACAAATCAAACAAGAGCACACATGACTATATTTAGGCTTACACATTGAGAGAATTTGATGAGTCAAAGTGCTTAGATGAACAGTTCCAAAAGTCAAAACTGGACGAATATTCCGGGACGGAGGGAGTACAATATTTCATAATTAAAATAAAAATTTTATTAAAATTCATTTTCAATTTTAAAAATTTAATATTATATAGCTATAAGTCAAACATAAAATCATTGATACTGTTGATGCTATTAAAAAATGCATATCATTCAAAGATTTCATTTGAGCATTTTTTAATATTAAACAACTTATTTGAAAAAAATAAAATCAACTCTTCATTTATAAAATTTTAATATTATTTTTTTAATATGCAAATTTTATTTTTTAATTTAGTAAAATAACTCAAGTATATTAATACAATTTGAGTCAATGTTATAAAAACTATCTTTAAGTATTTGTAAATGAGAATGTGTGTGTGCCTATATGTGTGTGTCTATACATGTATACATGTGTGTGTGTATATATATATATATATGTGTATGTATGTATGTATGTATGTATATATATATATATATATATATATATATATATATATCTTATAATATAATATTTGAGAGTGGTACTTTAAGAGCTTTATTTTAATGACACGTCATTCCTCCACGGGTCCTAGGATGCTTCCTTGAAAACGCCCAAAATCCCCCCAAAGAAACCAAATCTGACTTTCTACGGCTTCTTCCGTCTTCTTCGCTTCACCATCCCCAAATCGCCTGATTTTTCGCATCTACACCAATCTATACGCGGATTCTTCCGGGAAGGAGGAAAGATTCCATATAATCGGCAATCAGAGAACCGCTACGAGAAGATATCGAGGTTAAATTCCAAATTTCAAATTAGGTTTTTTCCAAATTTCCAATTTATGCTTCTTTTCAAATTTCGAATTTAATTTCCAGGTCGTTTTGTTTCCAAATTTCCATCGTATAATTTGTTTCCAATTTTCGAATTTAATTTTACTAAATTTGAATACTTCTTGATTTTTTTACTTAAAAATCTTGGATTTTTGGCCACCCATCGCGTTTAATATTGTGAAAATTTAGGAATTTTTTCCGAAAAAAAATTAAAAATCCTTTACATGTACTTTTCGAGATTTGTACTGCTTTTTCCGGAATTTTTTGGCCATGCATATTTTTTTTCCAGATTTGTACTTCTTTTTTAGACCATACATGTCGAAGACCATCCCTCCATTGTCTAAAATCACTCCAACCAGTATGTGTGCATATATGTTTGTATATTTTTTCATGTTTATAACTACATCACTAATTCAGATTATCTCTATTTCAATCGTGATTGATTCCTATTATACCTTCCCGTTTATATATGTGATAATTCAGCCGTGGTTGTGCCCCAATCATAATGTTTAAATGTATCGTGTTTATGAGTTTATAGCAGATTTTTGGAATCTTTTTCATGTGTTTGTTTTTGTTTTTCATTGAGGATTAGAAGTACATGTAAATGTTTAAATGCATCGTGCAATGCTTCTGTTTTTCATAGAGGATTAGAAGTATAATTTTAATGTTGTTATGAGATTAGTGCAGATTTTTGAAATCTTTTTCATGTGTTTGTTTCTGTATCATGTTTTTCATGTGTTTGTTTCTGTTTATTGTATTTGAAAAACATGTGTGTTGAAAGACTTACTTATTTCACTTTGGTGTCTGATGGGATAAAGAAAATGGTTATTTAATATCATGGCATATGTACAAATGTTTAAGTTTTCAAACAACATTGCCACTTTGACTCAATCTAAATCCGCATTTTCTGCATTCTATTTATAATTTGCACAATCTCCATTGTCTCATTCTAAACGCCCACTGTCTGCACTGT